TGGAATGTTCAAGAATAGAACAAGAAAATCAGAAAATTACTTTATGATCTTTGAAGAAGCGTAGCTCATAACAAGCATGCAACTATCCAACGATCTCTCGATAATAGGTCAGTGATACAATAGTTGTGAATAGGAAACAGAACAAATCAACACTGCCCAGAGGAAGTTTATCAGTTATCAAGTGACAATTGCTGACACTCCAGCCCATTCCTGCACGCAAATTTCTTAGACAGTACACTAACACATTTATTTTCTTAAGTTAAAACGATCTTTACACTTCCCTTTATTTCACCTTGATTTAACGATGAAATCTGTTTAGAATGAAAAGAAAGGCAAACCTGACGTCACCTAAGGAAAAACTGCCGTTTCCGTTTTTCATTTTGCACTAAGCATCACTTTTTAAAGACATATTTATACGTAAAATGTATTAACTTTTATACAGAAAAATTTTGAAAGGCCAGAAAGGTTTTACTCTGACACGTTTTGAGGAACCTTTTGTTTGACTACTATTCGGCGATCGATCAGATTTAAAGGGCACATTTTTACGCGCCCTAAAAAGTTGTTAGAAGAAAGTAGCGAGTATAAGTTATTTAGTCATACGGCGGCGGGACTTGACGGAACGCAAAGAGAGCGTCACAATCTAATGGCATACGAGCGACTGCAGGCAGCTCATGACATGTCGACTTTGAGATAACTATCAACGGCTTTGAATTCTTTCCATGTGCGAGAAAACAAAAAGTATGCAGACAGGACCAAAGCGGGAATATGTTATGGCGATAATGGCTGCTAATCAAGGCACCATCAATTGTGATGAATGGTGAACAAATCTACTCTTTTTGCTGAACATTTTCTGACAGAGAGAAACGGAATTTTTCAGTGGCCTCAAAAAAAGGACTGGGATAAAGTAGCGCCAGAATTCATTTTCAGTCGCAATGTAGAGGTCATTGACGATAGTAAGAGTGTGCAAGTGAAAAACTTGACATCAATAAAAAGTAAATTTGGCGCTTTTTGTGGCAAATATTTTTATCTATTCCCTGTATTTGAAGTATTTTTGGCGTTTTCTGTGTGCATGTTGCGGAACTGAAGAAGACGCATAGGGCCGGTTAAAAATGAGCCGGTGCTGTAAGTGGCTGAATCTGTCCAGCCCAAATACGTATGAAATGTTCTTTACCATAGTTAAAGTCAAGCATGCACACTTATTTCTAGATTTATTTATCCATTAATAAAGGATTGTCGAGATTTATCGTGGTTGTAACCCGAGACAGCTGTACCTCCGATTTATGATTTTGTTAGCCCGGCATAGCATTATTTGAAAGACTCTGCAAAATATGTTGGCGCTTCAATTTTTACCCTTGGTTTATTGAAGTGTTTTTTCTTTTGTTTGTGAGTGTGGCAATCTGACAATAATTTTTGTTGCAAGTTTCTAGAAAATTTTAAAGTGCTAAAATCGCAAAGTGGACCAGTAGAACAATTATGTACAATGATTTTTGTACCTATATTAATTTACACACTGGTTCACGATATGTCACGGTTTTACTTCCATTAGAATGCTTAATGACTACACGTTTTAATCAATGTGATCTATTGTAGCATATTTCACGCGAATAAAACATTTGATAAGAAAAGTTGTTAAAATTCGCGATTGGGGGAGAACAGAGATAAGCCGAAAAATGTTGCCCGCTTGACATTTCAAGCCTGAGTCACGGTTTTCTTATTGTCAGCAAATTCCATGCTCGGAAAAATAAAGTCTAAAATAATATGTAGTATACTTTAAATCATGCTTACTTGAATAAAACAATGTATATACAAAATTGATTAAATGCAAGAATACGGGAATATCAAATAGTGAAGAGAGTACAGCCGGAAAATGTTGATTAGCCGGTTGTTAAAGTTAACGAGAGCAGAAAGGGCTATTGTGTGCGTACCCACTCTCCCACATAAGCCGTCCTTTCATGTGAACATGGAGAATTCCTAGGGAAATCTTTTGCTCTGGGGCAAGTCCAAAAATGAGAGCAGAAAGCGTAGTCCTCGAAATTTTTACTTCCGAAAGGTGTCGTAAACGAAACTCACTTCCGGAATTAAGAGAGACGAGAAAAAGGGCCATTGCTGGACGAGAAAGGATACAATACTTTTTGTGATATATTCTTCCAGATGAAAATGAAGTAACACCTGAGGTAAGCGTTTTATATTATTTTGGGGGGGCATTATAATATGTAGATTCTTAAGAGAACTTTTCGTAAGAAACTTTGAGTTTTCTACTGCACCTTCGAACAGGCTTCTGTTTCCATTACATCGATTTTACACCAGTAGACGTGACGAGAATTAAAGTTGGCGCAAAGGTACCGACTTTGGCGCCAAAGCGGATAACGAAAGTAATTGTTTAATATGAATGGGAATGAAAGGGTTTTGTGACAAGCATGATTGAAATAGAGAGTGCGTTTGTTTTGTAATACCGTTTAAAATGTTCAGCAAAAAGAGTAGATTTGTTCACCATTCATCACAATTGATGGTGCCTTGATTATCGGCCATTATCGCCATAACATATTCCCGCTTTGGTCCTGTCTGCATACTTTTTGTTTTCTCGCACATGGAAAGAATTCAAAGCCGTTGATAGTTATCTCAAAGTCGACATGTCATGAGATGCCTGCAGTCGCTCGTATGCCATTAGATTGTGACGCTCTCTTTGCGTTCCGTCAAGTCCCGCCGCCGTATGACTAAATAACTTATACTCGCTACTTTCTTCTAACAACTTTTTAGGGCGCGTAAAAATGTGCCCTTTAAATCTGATCGATCGCCGAATAATAGTCAAACAAAAGGTTTCTCAAAACGTGTCAGAGTAAAACCTTTCTGGCCTTTCAAAATTTTTCTGTATAAAAGTTAATACATTTTACGTATAAATATGTCTTTAAAAAGTGATGCTTAGTGCAAAATGAAAAACGGAAACGGCAGTTTTTCCTTAGGTGACGTCAAGTTTGCCTTTCTTTTCATTCTAAACAGATTTCATCGTTAAATCAAGGTGAAATAAAGGGAAGTGTAAAGATCGTTTTAACTTAAGAAAATAAATGTGTTAGTGTACTGTCTAAGAAATTTGCGTGCAGGAATGGGCTGGAGTGTCAGCAATTGTCACTTGATAACTGATAGCTACTGATAAACTTCCTCTGGGCAGTGTTGATTTGTTCTGTTTCCTATTCACAACTATTGTATCACTGACCTATTATCGAGAGATCGTTGGATAGTTGCATGCTTGTTATGAGCTACGCTTCTTCAAAGATCATAAAGTAATTTTCTGATTTTCTTGTTCTATTCTTGAACATTCCACTGTTTCGTAGGTGCTGGGTTAAAAAGCCTATCGGTTATTTGAAAACGGTAAAATTTTGACGTTTTTCAAAAACATGATAAATAAACCAAAAAGAGTTTTAGATGAGTTCACGGCAGCTAATGGATCAAATGTGCATATATGAGTGCAGCCTTCCAGTATGTACTCGAGAATGATGCACTGACTTGTCATGAAATAGATTTTTACCTCACGGGTCAAATTCACACTTGTGGAATGTAGCATATTATCCCGTTATTCTCTAACAAACTTGTGATTGGGTATAATGGGTGAAGTATTATTAGCTGTTATTAGCTGTTATCCCGTTATTCACTAACAAGCTTGCCATTGGATCTAATGGGTTTGTTATCTGATAACATTAGACTAGCTCTTAGCCAAAGATAATCTTGATCCTGATTGGCTCTAATGGCTGATAACAGGCAATAACAGCTAACAGCAATTAGTCCCAATTATATTGAACGAGTCCCAATTAAATTGAACGGGTGTCAGTTGCTTCCCTTGCTTAGAGAGGAAGAGTCTTGATCATCACTATCATTTTGATCCAGGTCTTCATTTTCTGAACCAGAAAACTGGAAACCTATTTCAATCCAGGTACTCTGGTAAGACTGATGTATGGCAATGAATAAGGCCATTCCCGAGTCGTTCTAAGCTGTGAAATTTGGCAATACCTGGGATTACTGGTTCAACAGAGAAGAATTTCTTTAATCCAAGTAAGTCTGCAGTAGCTTCTAATTCTTTAGATCCAACAAAGGTCACTGCAACAGGTGTGCTCAACTTATTTGCAACACTTGCAAAAGAGCAAGCATCTTTGACTGCTTCCACCTTTCTTGTGGATACAGCATTCCAAACCATGCGCTTCACAGTTCCCCCGATACCATCAACAGCCCCTTTCCCGTGTGATGTGGCAGATTAGTTCCACTGGATGTTAAGACCTTGACCTTGAAGTAAATGGAGAAAATGGGCAATGTACCTGTTCTTGAACTGCGAGCTTGGTCCATCTGAAAATATCCAAACTCAAGTTATGTTTGGGTGTCTCCCCTTCACAAGGTCGTTGACAACTTTGCACATGAACACGGCAACAGATGTTTTGTCATGCTTCAAATCATCTGAAACAATGACGTGAGATTCACAACAGCTGTTTTTGTCTCCAGACTTTGTCCAGATTACAACAGTGAACAGGGTAACTTGGTCTTGGCTCCAGTGTGCTGACTGAACTTCTCCCAGGTACTTGCAGCTGAAATTTTCAGCAAAATCAACTTGCACCACTGCCTCTTCCTCTGTCAGATGTTCTATCTTCTCTTTGAAAATTCTTGCCTGTTGTCACTTTACAAACAAATGTTCTAAGAATGATGGCAGCTGAACTTCTAGATCTTCCAGTAAATCATCAACAGTACCCTCTTTCAGAACTTTCTGAATTTTCTTTACCCTTTACATGCTTTTTCCTTTCTTTGCCTGCACCATTTGTTCCACATGCTTCCACTGATACCATGTTGCATGCTCATCAAGGTTTCCTGCACTTGACCTTGTTTTTTGCAACAAGCTGGGGCATTTTGCACACTTTTTACATTTGCCAAGCATGCAAAGTTCTAACTCAGGGTTGCAAACAAAATTTTCTGCAAAACTTCCTGAGTACAGTGGAAAATCATCTATTTCTTTATGCAGGCTCTCACAAAGCATTTTGACAAACATCTCTAGGCATGTCAGCAGAAAGCAAGACATTCAGCATGTCAGCAGAAAGCAAGACATTCACTGGCCTTAAGGAGCAAAACTTACTAAAGCCAATCTCAGTGGTGGGGTTTTCTTTCATGAATATGCTATAACATTCCCTTAGGAACCACAACAAGTGCCTTTTCTGGATATGATGTTTTGTGTTGTTTTCCCGAACAGTGACAAAGTCTTTTCTGCCTGGTGCTTGGCGAGAGATGGAGTCAAGCTGAAAGAAAACTTTAACAAGATTTACCGTCTCTTTTGGAAGACCTCTGTTACCTCTAGTGCACTTCTTTTTCCTAAGAAAACCTGAAGCATGTGCTAGTTTGAAAACCACAGCCTTTCGTTTTTTGGGGCGTTGGGGAAGCACTCTGCTGCTGACCTTACCAAGAGCCTTTCCTAGAGCTTGATGTGTTTGGTAAGCTTGTGATACATCTTGGTCTTGGGAAGAGTTTTTTGCTTTCTTCTCTTTTTGTCTTTGCCTGTATTTTCTGACTCTTTCACGGATGAGTTTCTTCCTTCTTGCAACTTCTCTTGGACTAAGGGCTTGACCTTTTCTTTGCACTCTTTTCCTTTCTTTGTCTTTGTTCTTATAGGCCTTATACCTCTCAACATCTACTTTGAGTCTTGTTCTTAAAGTTCTGGCCCTTTCAGCCCCTGTTTACAGTTTTGACATTTTTTTTAGAAAAGACAACCATCTTGTTTATGTAACTTTCAGAGTACAATGAGATGTCATAATTTGATTAAAACTACTGGTCAGTGGTTTTCTTTCAAAGAATGTTCAGAGCATGCTCTGAAAAGGAATGCGCTGACCAGCTATAATTACAAAACAGCTTTTGTGTGCTTTTGTTTTCATTTAATTTTCAGGGCTTCTATACATTGCTGATGGTAAACTTAACACATAAAAATAAATGAAATAAGCAATTTTTTTAGCATCATAGTACACATAATATAATTTTCAAGAAAAAATTCACAGACAGTAATGTCCGTAACACTTGGTGTAATGTCCATAACACAACCTTTTAGGGAACCAAAGCAGTTAAGATAGACCTCAGAGAAATTTAATGTGACTGAAGGACAACTTTGAGCATTTGCCAATAAAAAATATGCATTAAATTGCTGTTTTGTATCAACCACATTGCACCATAATGACTTGCCTTTTGCACAATAAAAAAATACTCAGAGAACAAATTTTTAGCTCCCTCTGATTTTGACTGAAAGGCCTGTTACAGACATTACAGCTAAAACAACCGTCAATTTTAATCACGACTTTTAAGGCTCAGTTCCTGTGATTATGAAACATTTGAAGGAAACAAATTATACTGCATATTGTGAACAGGACAGGAGATCAAAGTTAAAAAATGCTCTCTGAGTGTAATGTCCGTAACGGTGGAATTGCCCCTTTACACTCTTACTAAAAGTGAAATACCTAACACATACCTGTTAATGTCAACAATGTCAATTAAATCTTGCTAATCTTCCTCGAAGACAGTACTTCTAATAACTTCAGAAATGTCTTTCCAGTCGGTGTAAACCTGAAATCAAAATGAATAATAACGAAAAGCCCAAATTACAATCTGAAATGAGGTGTTTTAAGTTAAGGGGAAACTGCATGCCTATCTCAGTTTTTTTTATAAGAGCATGCAGTGATCGATCACCTTCCCTTGTGACCTGTGTTTTGTAACTGCCACTTGTTAAATTTAAGTTAAGAATTTTGTTCAAAAAAGCAAAATCAGCTTGACTAGTTTTAACTTAACGTGTCTGGATTTTGCCCCATATCTTACTTCTCATAAAACTGTCCAATGTGTCTTCCAATTAAGTAAAAAAGACTTGATTATTTGATTACCTTTAAAAAGAAATTGGTAGAACACTTCTGCTGCATAATCACATAGCTGAGAAAGATCAGCATTGTCCACCTTCTGCCTTTTCTTTCCTCGTTTCCCTTTAGCAACCGACCAACCAACACACTTCTCTGACAGCTCCACATATCTTTCCTCGATTTCACGTAACCTACTCTGCCAGCTAGAATTCCAGTCTTCTTTGAACTTCTTTTCCAGTTTCTAAGGAAAACAGGTTAGGTAGTCACATCACGAAGTGTAAGGGGGTATTCTTTTTAAGGGAGGACTATTATGCAAGAACACAAACCACTGGGTGTGCTTTACATGCTAAGGAACATTCACTCAGTTGGGATGAAATAATCTGATGCAAAATGATGTACTCTTGATACACAATGGTCACGTCATGGGGTTATATTAATACTAACAGTGCTAGCTAGCCTGCAGTCATTAATTCAAACTGTCTAGTTCATCACAGTCAAAGGGAAGGAAAGGTTTTAAATAACAGTATAATGACTGTAACATGTACCTGAACCTGTGAGGGTAATAGTCTCCTCCTTTGATTTAATTGAACCAAAGTGTCTGGTAAATGTGTCTGAAATAGCCATGTCCTGACAGTACTAAAACAAATTTTTAAAAATTCATTGAATATTTTAAACAGAAACCATTTTTTTCAGTGTAATTGTTTCTACATACTACACAAAAAATATTATTGTGTGTTGCACTGGTTTAAGTGAAACATTCAAATCATGTGATATCCTGAGCCATACCTTGATTCTATCATTACAAAATATTGTGACCTTATTCAGGAGTGCCTCTTAAAAAATATGACTTCAATTTGTCATGAAGCAAGGAGTTCCTGACAATCGTTTCAATGTTTGTGAGGAACTCACGTTCAGTAGAACCTTCAGGAAAAATAGTACAGAAAGAAACAAACAGGATTTAAATTCACAACTTAATGAAATCTTCATTACAAACCAGTGTTACAGTTTTCATATTAAGGATCAAAGTATTGTACAAATGAAACTCAAGCAGCTGCTACAGCACAAAAGTAAAAGCCCTGAAGTGGATAAAGCGAATGAAAGCAATCATGATAAAAATGAAACAATATAGAAGGTACCTGAAAATGAAGACACCTGGATGTTGTGCTTTTCAACAGCAGTTTCTTGGCCCTCCTTCATCTTCACTGTTATTCTGCTGCTAAAATTCTCAGGGCCATAATTTGCCAATTCGGCATTACATTCATCAAGTGAACCCACTTTGTACAAAAACAAACCTAATGATGACAACAACTCTTCGGTATTTCTAAGTTCGCAGTGAAGGACGCAGTGATTAATAGACGATAAATCCTCTTTAACAAGGAACTCTAAGTCATCATGGATGCCTTTGAAACTAGAAAAAAGAAGATTAATTATTCTGTTAGTTGTGAGGGATATCTCCCCTGAAGTGGTACTTAACAGTTTTATAGATTTCAAACTCAAGTATTTTACTCGACAGGTTTTCATTCAGTCTTTTATGACAGTGCCCCTACAACATTGACACACCTACAGTAAAGGAAGACTGTGGTACATTATTATGGGAAAATAATATGTGCTCTCTAGGAAAACAAGACAAGGATAATTGCCAACATTTTATAGACAGGGGCATTAAACACTATGTTTTTCCAAAAAAAGCTTTTTGCTTCCTTTTCCATGCAGTGGAAGTTCCCCTTTTACAAAAGGCAAGGCTTAATTTACAAAATATTATTGCTAAAATGAGGTCTATATAAAAAGTGAGTCTTTTATAGAAAACATACTTGTTAAGCTATAAATGCTGGGGTGAAGGGATTCACTCACTATACCAGGGAATTTAATTTTTTGAATAGAGGTTAACCATATTGAGATACCCTTAATGTTTTGAATGCCTTTTATAATTAGAAGTTACTGTGAATTCAAAATGACAACTACAAATGCTGAAATTCATGAATAATCAAGGGCTGCATGCCTCAACAAGTATCATCGGAAAATTCTAAATTACCCTCCAATATTGGCCTTGGACATGCTAAAGTGTTTCAAACAAACTGTATGTGGACCAAGATCGCAACATCCCATAAAAATAGCCATTATTCATAGCTAGTTTTTTCTAAGAAATTTTACCCAGCACAACTGAAAATCTAATAGTAATATATTAGTAAGTTGGTCATTGGTAAGGTCAAAACCTGCATAGTAGAATTTGTTGACTCGGAGATTTTGAACATATCCACATACCCTCAATACTTTGCAGATAAAGCAACAATCTACTTCAGTTCCTCGTTTCCCAAGCTTAAGGTTCGCTTTCCCTATTTGTTCCAGCAAAAAATAGAGGGCCTTCAGGTCAAGTATAACTGTAGATATAAATTTTTGAAAAGAGTGGTCAATGTACATGAAGGCATTTGGATTGAAAATTATGGTACTAAAAAATACCTTATTAATTATTATGTGAAACTTACCTTTAAATCTCACAGCATAATGCACTCCATCCACTGTGATTCCATTCTTCTTTAGTGCATCCTTTTGTTTGTTGACATTGACAATCAGCTTTTTTAGGTTTTTTTCCTAATAATAATCAAAAGTAAAGTTACCAGTAAACTGAAGTTATTACTAAAATGAAAAAAAAAAAAAGGAAAATGAAATACCATACTGCTAGTCTAGTCTGCGGCAGATAGTTCTTAAGACTTGAAAACATATAAAGGTCTGGTTTGAGTGGCCCACTAATAAATTTAGACCTTTGCGGTAAATTAATTTTCGAAAATGATCGTTTACTGGGGCCTTTAGGCCTCATAATTATAATAACTTTGTTGTAAATCCACAAATTATTTCAGCTTACATGTATAACTGGTCGACAACCAAAAATTACACAGTCAAAAAGGTACAATAAAAATTTTCACTAACAAAACTAGTTATTTTGGAAACAAATAACTATTTGACTAATGAATCAAATTTAAATACAACATACCTGTCTTCCTTACAATTAGCAATATCTAAAGGGCACACTGATTTACAGCTCTGATTACACACGAATGGTGTGTCTTTGGGGACTACACCCATTAGGACCTGACTGCGCCCTACAAATGAGAGGAAACAAAAAAAAAGGCATTTCAAAAATTTAAGCACCACTTCATGACCTAGAGTTCAAAGTGTTTGGTTATGTTTACCCTGCCACTTTGATGTTACCCCCAAAAACTTAATACAGACACCTGTATTTAACAGATTTGTTGCAACAAAAAGCACATGTATTTTCTCTAAAATTTACTCCCTAATACAGACAACAATAATATGGACAACAAGTTTTAAACTCCCATATATTATATACCCTGCTTTACATTATTTTATCTCTACACTGTCTATGACCGAATATCTTTCAAGTGAAAATATTTATTATGGATACGGAACAGTAAATGTTTAAGAATACTGACGAAAAAGACTATTTCAGTCCAAGACTACACCCATGATAAAAGATCACAGGGTTTCGTTAGGATGAACTTGTTTCAGTCACAGTTAAGAAATAATTTGGACACTATTGTATGTCCCTTGGTGTCATAATTTTTAACCCAATTTCCCTGTTGATTTTGTTTCTATGTTTTTCTTTCTTAAGTGCAACACAATTGTTGCAAAATACAATAAAGAAATCTGGAAATAAGTTACACTGTATTTAGTAAAGATTGCGTTCTCACCTGCAAATGGCCTACCATCAAGCTTGAGGCTTAGGTCAATTATTTCTTTCTGCACACCATGTAATCTCAACTCCCTGATAATCCATGTTACGGCACTTTCAAGAGAAACTTCATAACCAGGAAAATCTTGTATCTGGGTGATGTCAAAGAGGCTTCAAACTTAACACCATAGACCAAAGTGCCTTTACGTTGCGTTTGGAAAGCAAGATCGGAGTGTCTGATGAGTTCTAAAAGAAAAGAAAAAAAGATCAAAGGTACTGACACAGTACCCCTGCCTCCCCCCACAGAAATAGCCAATTTTTCTTACACCCCTCAGAAATATTCCAAAGATCAAAGGTGCCATCACAGTCAATCCCCTCCAAAATGATTTTCACCCCTCCCCTCCCCCCGCATTGAGCGCCTGACCGCAAAGCTCGTTCGTTACCATGGAAAAGGGGTCTCCTGGTGTGCCCAATAAAATCGGGCCTCTAGCTTATGATGAATTAAGTCAAGTGTTACAGGAGGTACAAGGGTGTCCAGCAAAAACAGCAATTTCTGGGATTTCTCCAAAAATTGTGAAAAATTGGAGAAATTGCTGTTTTTGCTAAAATTAATTAAGTCAAGTGTTACCGGAGGTAGAAGGGTGTCCAGCAAAAACTGCGACTTCTGCAATTTCTGCGATTCCTCCAAAAATTGTGAAAAATTGGAGAAATCGCAGTTTTTGCTAAAATTAATTACGACAAGTGTTAGAGGAGGTACAAGGGTGCCCAGCAAAAACTGCGATTTCTGCAATTTCTCCAAAAATTGCAAAAAATTGGAGAAATCGCAGTTTTTGCTAAAATTAATTAAGTTGAGTGTTACAGGAGGTAGAAGGGTGTCCAGCAAAAAATGCGACTTCTGCAATTTCTGCAATTTCTCCAAAAATTGCAAAAAATTGGAGAAATCGCAGTCTTTGCTAAAATTAATTAAGTCAAGTGTTACAGGAGGTAGAAGGGTGCCCAGCAAAAACTGGGATTTCTACAATTTTTGGGATTTCTCAAAAAAATTGTGAAACATAAGGAATAATTGCAATGATCCATGGTAGGCATTCTGTCTTTTTTGTTATCAGCCAAGCACAAAGGTTGACAGGTTTTTGTCAATGAGGTATTAGGGAAATACTTGTTACTGTATGATTCAACCTTGCATCCTCTATTCATTGTTGACTAATCCTGACTAATCCCATACGAATTCCAGTAACCATAAAAAATTTTGCTCTCAAAATTGTAGACCATTATTTCCTTCCTCTCGGAGTTCACAATAAGCTTTGCCTCTCTTTTTCCTTTACCAAGTTGCTTTCTAAACCCACCACAATCTTGGAACTGGTCGTAGAGATACGATAATCTTCTCAGGTTTGAAAATGTTATAGTCACTGAACCTGGTGTATCTATCCCAAATCTTGTCAGACCAAGAATCTCCTTGTTCAAGAGATCAAAGACCTCATGAGGCATGGGAAGGTCAAAGCAAATCATCCACGGATGCACTATGCTCATTTTTGGACTAAGACGGTGAATAACTGCGGTCTTTGCGCGATCCATGCTTCGAAAGCATAGGACATAATCTCGCCGATGCGCTCGCGAAGCGCGCCAAAATTCCCTTTCACAACTGACTCAGCCAGCTTATTCAGTTCGTGGAATGTCTTGCCTAAATCCTTTAGGGTATGTGCGTTCCAAATTCCCCGCTGAAATTTTGATTTCTCTCGCTTCAGTGCATCTTTTATGGAAATTTAGTTCACCTTCGGTAGCTGCACATTGATCCGCCAGCTTGAATTGAATTTTGCACAACTAAACTAAACCCGAGGTCGCGCTCGGCCAAAATGAATTGTAAAATCGACGCTTTTAAACCGACGTATTTTCAATGCTGTCTTTATCAGGGTACAAAAATAGTCTCATTTAGTCTTGAACCCCTAAGAAGGCAGCATTGCCGAAACGTCGGTTAAAACTCGTTTGAACTGCGTCGATTTTACAATTTTCAAATTAACATTAAGTAGCTACGTTGGGCAGGGAATTTAATACTCTTTTTTCACAAAGTGAAAGTTGACCACATTCCAAGCGTTGCAAATTTTAAAATGGACTAGGTACGTGAAAGTGTACTGCTACCGCGGTGAGCAGTCCGTTAGTCGCCAAAAATTTTAAAAAATTGTAATGGTTGCTTCGTATTCAACAGCTTTGTTGGGATTTGTGGAATAAAGAACGAAGTATATTACATGTATAGTGTTGTTGTTTGGGTCCATGAGCATTAAAGAACATCTATTACATGTGGGTTCGCCCGACCTTGATTTTTCGTTAAAGTTGAACTTAAGAAAAAATAGCAAAAAGTGTTCAAGTTTAAACCCAAAAACCTGTTCGAACCCTGTGATTATTGACCAGTTCTCATTTTTATTACATTGTCAGTATTAATTTAAAAGTTTTTTTAAAAAATAAGTACTTTTTGGGCAAGCAGATAGAGGCCACGAAAGAAGAAATTAAGGTGCTAGTAAGTTAAGGCAATCAGGTTTAATTGTGACCATTTTTCGGTGTCTTAGTCAAATTTAATGGAACACGCAACCGATCTAGCTATGTTTGCCGTCCATAGTCCCCAATGAAGTAAATTGGCGATGGACTAGGTATAAAAATGTTCTTAGTCTGCGGTGGCAGTCCCGAAGTCGCCGGATACGGTAAAACAAGAATGGCTGACTCGACTTAAGAAGGCTTAGCTCGGGTTGGTGGATAAAGAACGAAGTATATGACATGTATAGTGTTGTTGTTGGGGCATGAGCATTAAAGACCCGAGGTATATTACTTTTGGATTTGTCAAGGAATAAGCGTCAAAGTGAAAGTGACAGTATATAGTGATCCACAACATTTTGCCGTGACGACTTTATACAAAATATATTCAAGATCGACGTAGCAATCGTCGATATTTATAAGATCGTGCAGAACGCTTGACCTATTTAAGTAATGACGGCAAAATAATCAAAGCGAAAGGCATCTTTAATAAGCGGTGTTGTAGAGTGTTGTTTGTCATCGGTCGGATCAACTTAAACAAGTGCGGGCGAAGCAACCTCGGGCGAATCCACTTAAGGGCGAAACGACCACATAATTTAGATGTACTAGTGAAAATAATTGTTAAATTGAAGCGAATGATGCTGCATTCAAGATGTAATGTGAATAAATAACTTTGACCAGTTGAAAAATACGTGAATGAGGTTGATTCCTTGTTCGAAAACTCCTAGTTTAAAGAAGGCATAAAATACAGTTAAAATGATGAAACTTGAAATACAATGGAATCTCACGAATATCACTCGAACCTTTAGATAACAAACCTTTATTTAAAGATTGGCTGCGTTGGCTTTTACGTGTAGAAATGCTTTAATTGCGCTGACAGGGAAATGCCAAAATGGCAAGTAAAGCGGAAACTTTTTGGACAAAAAAATGGGCAAACGGCTTTATTTTAGGTGATCATGAACACGAGAAAAGTGAACTGATTAACATGACAAAGAACGAGAAATCGCAAGTGACAAAAAATCGTCAGACTTACGATTTTTCGCAATTTTCGCAAATTTTGTTAAATCGACAACTCGCTCTGAACTTCAGTGATTATTAACCTGACAAAGCACTGCGAAAAATCGTCAGCCTTGCGATTTTTCGCAACACACGAAAAATTGCAATTTTTGCTGCTGCATGCAAACCTGGACATAAGTGACAGATAATGCAGAAAACTTATGATGCCTTGCTATCTTCAGATGGCAGCAACAAAGCTCCTGTCCCAAGAAAACTGTTTTCTTCAAATACAGTGACCATTGTTTGATTTCATCGAATAAAAGTCGAGTTACTTCCTAAATAGGTTATTACAAGGGAGTAAAACCCTTAAACCTTCCTAGCAAATAAGAGATACTATAACATATGATCCCCGCAAAAATCAAGATGGGTCATTGAGAAACTCTTTAAAAAAAACAGGGACATTTCTTACTTCGGCCTCTCTTCCCTGTACACAACTTGTAGGATGCAATTTAATTTGCGGTTAAAAGATACTTCCAGAACTAATAACAGCTTGCTAAAATTAATTAGTAATGGATGACTAGAGGCAGGTCGTGTATGCAAGTGCAATCGTTCCCATTTTTTTTGTTGTACTAAAATAAAAAGTGTCCTATTTTAGCCAGACGAAAAAAGGGCAACACATAGACGTATGAAGGTGCGAGTTGGATTCCATCTTCTTGACCTAGTCAATTCTAAGCGTACTGTGACGTTAGGTTTTTAGGGTGTTCTTCGTCTTTAACTGTCATAAAATACGCGGCGTTGCGCTGGACAAATAGAAGGATAATCGACGGGACGATTCAGAATAACTGAAGGACGGAATGGGACTAAAGCTCGGTAGAAC